TATGTTGGCTCGCTGCCCACAAGGCTATCGGCTTGGCACGTGAATGTTTTAAAATGAGCTTGATTTGTCATGGTCTTTAATGTACTTGAACTGATCCATCAGCACAGTGTAGTCCTAGAATTCCCCAGGTTTTGTCTTGTCCTTTAAATCTCTCTCTCTCCCCTGGTTTCACAGACAAGGCTCTGACTTATAAAAAAAAAACATTACTGGTGTGCATATTTTAAGATAAGGCATATTTTATAAAAGCTACTTAAATGTACTTCTTGAACTAAGGTTTAATCCTGGCTTAATATAAGCCCTGTCTGTTAAACTAGGCCTTTATTAAATGTTTTTTTTTAAATACAATGCATTAATAGTACAATTCCTAGATGACAATACGAGGCTTCAGTAGGTACGTCACAACAGTTTTGAAATGTTTGCCACTAGGGTGAACCCATTAACCAGAATCTAGATTTTTTTACCTGATCTCGGATCAGTTTTATAAGTGTGGTCTAGCCTTGTTCATGAAACTGCCGTTGATGAGTGTGCTGGTTCAAATTTATTGCATGGTTCTAGACAAGTCTTTATTTTGCATTTGTTTTGATCAAGTTTTGTTAAATAAATCTGTGTTCAGTTCAACTTGTCTTCAGTGGGCATTTGTTACATAAATATATTACAATGGTGTGATTTCTGAGTCAGTGTTTCTTTTTTTGTGACCCAGGAGGTGATAACACACCATCTCCCAATTTAAATGATTGTTTTTGAACATGATTGTTTTATAGAACATGTGGGGAGCGGGGATTTGCATGAAAAAACGTCCACACTGTAAAGAGATTGCTGTAAATTTTACAGTAACTTACTGGCAGCTGGATGCCAGTAATTTACTGTAAAATGTTTTACAGTATTATTACTGTATTTTCACTTACAGTATACTGTACCTTTACTGTATTTTCACTTACAGTACTGTACCTTTACTGTATTTCCACTTACAGTATACTGTACCTTTACTGTATTTTCACTTACAGTATACTGTACCATTTACTGTATTTGGATTTACAGTAATATTACCGTATTGTCATTTACAGTATTCGTATTGAGTTTTTGTTGTTTTTTACATGTTTACCCCACCCCCAAAAATTACAACAACTCATGAACATTTGTCCTTATAATATTCTTTTTAATCGTTGAACATTTTGTTTTTAGAAGTACAAATTACAAATCTTGACCTCAATAGCTGAAGAAAAAAAAGGCAAAATCACCAAAGTCCATAGAACTTATCTCCTGGGGACCATTTATATCTGTAGCATGGCAATAAGGTACACACTGAAAACCAAAACAGGCCTTAAAATAATAAAATACAATAAAAGTCAGTTTGTGTTGTTACATTTCAGTAATTTTGCCAGTCAAAGTTGACAAGCTCTCTGATGAGAAACACTGAGGGGTTCAGGCTGATGCTTTTTTGGATCTTTCCAGATTTCCATCTCCTCGGTGCCTTTAGTGTTTGGTGCCATCAGGGTTAATTCTCAGAATAAACCTGCAAGCACAAAGGGGGAAAAAATACATTAATTTTGAGATGGGTATTGTCAGAATTTGCCCTAACTCTCAAACTTGATGCTGCATGTACTTTTATGTTGATAAAAGCAAAACATCTGATTCTGAATGCACCTAGAGGGATGGTACATAATTAACTCATAATCCATTACATTCAAATAATTTAAGCTTCATTCCTTTACAATACATTCCTGTGTAGCTTAAACAGCAGAGAAAGATGCAAGAATGCTGAAACAATGAGTTTGACTTCCAGGGAATGGATAACTTAATATTAGGAACACACCACCTATTTTTTGAAATAGGAGGTTTTCACCGTCTCCCCTATATTTAGATAGATGGGCAAACGCATTTTTGTCTCATTGTCTTAGTCTGGCAGTGCCACCGCTAGCTTAGCTAAGCATAATAAATTGGAACCCTTTGTTGCCGGATAGCATGTTGTGAGTAAAAGCGATTAAAAAAAACTCAATTACTTCTTGTGGCCTGCGTATTCACAACAAGTACAAATAGCAATGCAGATTAAGACTAGGCGATCTCCTAGGCAGAGATTGACTTGGGACGAAGCACAGGTGAAGCACTGCTACTTGGGCACAGAGATATCACGCAACACCTGAAACCACCCAACTTCCGTCAACATACCGGCGTGAATATTAGCTGGCTATTTTTCCTACAGTAGACACAGTGAATGGCGATAAACATGGCGGTTTTTGTGAGAGACGAAGAGGGTGACTTCTCAGACAGTCAAGATCCAGAACCATACCTCTACGAACCAGAGTTTTCAGAAGAGGAGCTGCATGCTTTGGAAATAGAACGACAGGAGGAGGAGGTTGCGATCGCTCAACAGCCTGAGGACGTGAGGATGAGAGCTGACACGAACTGGTGGTGTGAGTGTGGGGAAATATGCCAGCCTATGCCGACTGAAATAGAGTATCTGTGCTGTGGCGAGTGGGACAAGGTACTGCCATCGATGACCAGGCTCAACGTGTCAGATCAAGATGAGGTACCCGCAGTTGTGTCACAGCTACCGAGGATTTCTCTGCGTTGATCCATTCTGCAGTCCTCGACTTTTTTGAGAAGTCATCCTCTTCGTCTCTCACAAATCCGCCATATTCATCGCCATTCACTATGTCTACTGTAGGAAAAATAGCTAACTAATATTCACGCCGGTATGTTGACGGAAGTTGGGGGATTTCAGGTGTTGCGTGATATCTCTGCGCCCAAGTAGCAGTGCTTCGCCTGTGCTTCACCGCAATATAGTCCCAAGTCAATATCTGCCTAGGAAATCGCCTAGTCTTAAAGGAACACGCATTTTTGGGACTTAAGCTCATTCACCGTATCCCCCAGAGTTAGATAAGTCCATACATACCTTTTTCATCTCCGTAACTCTGTCTGACGCACCCACCGCTAGCCTAGCTAAGCACAAATACTGGAGGTAAACGGCTCCAGCTAGCATACTGCTCCCAATAAGTGACAAAATAACGCAGCATTTTCCTATTTACATATTGTGATTTGTATAGTCACAGTGTGTGCAAATAACAAGGTCACATGAGACACAGCCATCTTTTAACCATAAAAATATTGGGAACTATATTCTCAGAAGGCGAAGCAATGCTACTTCTGTAGAGTGATTTCCTTGCAGCACCTGAGAAGCCCCGTGGTGAGGAGCTCAGAGTTGCGGTAATCATTCAGCCCAAGTAGCAGTGCTTTGCCTTCTGAGAATATATTTCCCAGTATTTATATGGTTAAAAGATGGCTGTGTCTCATATGACCTTTTTATTTGTACACGCTGTGACTATACAAATCACAACATGTAAATAGGACAATGTTGGTGTTATTTTATTACTTATTGGGATTAGTATGCTAGCTGAAGCTATTTACATCCAGTCTCTGGGCTAAGCTACTGTAGGCTAGTGGTGGGTGCGTCAGACAGAGTTATAGCACGCACGGAGATGAAAAATGTATGTATGGACTTATCTCACTCTGGGGGATACGGTGAATAAGCTAAAGGGGGGGGTCACTTTTACTCAGGACATGCTATCCGGACATGCTATCCGGCGGCGCTGCCAAACACGAATAGAGCATAAAATTCTCGTCTACCTCATCTAATTGGACGCTTGAACATTTTGAATCCAAAGCGAAATTGACAAGCGTAAAAAGCAAGCGTTTGAAGCGAAATTGACGCGCGTCCGAGGCGAAATCCGCTTTTTGTGGGAGGGGCAAGTGCTAGACGGTTGTCTGTTTGCAAGATGGCTGATGTTGATTGACTTCTAGACGTGCGTAATTGCGTCTTTACATTGACTTAAAGGGGTGGTTCGGAATTTTGGACATTGGGGCTCATTTCCAAGTGAGCCTTAGTGTTATTTATCAGTGGAGACAGTTTTCAAAAAATTTCATCCAGCTGTCAAGTTGCATAGTTCGCCAGTGCTAGGCTAGCACGAGTCAACGGTATCTGCTAGCCTGCCATTAAAAACAGTTTTACCCACTCCACAGTACACTAAAAGCAAATAAATTATAACGCCAGACTGTCGATGTAAATGTCTGTTGAGAGAATAATGTTAGAAATCAAACTACTCTTGCATCTCAATGATCTCATTACATTTACAGGAACTAGTTTCTCAGCAGCGGCGGAATTTTACTTTGCTCCGGTTAGTAGTACTGCACCGAAAAGTAAACACAGAACAGCTTCTGTAGTGATGAGTGTCAGCGGCAGGTAAATAGTGGACCGGCGTGCTCGGTTGCCTAGGTAACTTAATATCACTCTGCCGATTTATTAGCACAGACTGTGCTAATAAATACAGGGAACAAAGTATAACTATTGCAATGCGATGAAAGGGTAATTTGATTCCTAACATTATTCTCTCAACAGACATTTACATCGACAGTCTGGCGTTATAATTTATTTGCTTTTGGTGTACTGTGGAGTGGGTAAAACTGTTTTTAATGGCAGGCTAGCAGATACCGTTGACTCGCGCTAGCCTAGCACCGGCGAACTATGCAACTTGAACGACTAGATGACATTTTTTGAAAACTGTCTCCACTGATAAATAACACTAAGGCTCACTTGGAAATGAGGCCCGATGTCCAAAATTCCGAACCACCCCTTTAACAGTTAAATCACTCACACCAGATGTTCTATTCGCGTTTGGTGTGAACGCACCATAAGACAATGCATGCACTGAGACAAAAATGCGTTTGCCCACTTATCTAAATATAGGGGAGACAGTGAAAAAACCCTAATTCAAAAAACGGTAGCGTGTTCCTTTAAACTTAAATACAATGTAAGTTGCTTTGGATAAAAGTGTCTGCCAAATGCATGAATGTAAATGTAATGTAAAATATATATATATTTTGGGTTACCTAATTCTGCATTCGACAAAATGGACAGCTAATGCTGAACCAGAGTCTGTTAGCTGGATGATGATTCTGCCCTTCATAGTCAGCATCCATGTTTTTGCTTAGAGAACAGACTCTCCTGAAACAGACAAAGTCACAGCAGCCTTTTAGTGATATTATAGTTCACAGAAATAAAATACAATAACAGAACTTGTTACTAACAACAACGACATGAGGGGTAAAGATGATGTAAGATATGATGTTGTATGGTGTTTATAGTTTTTAATAAATGAAACAACATTTAAAATATTAGTTAGCAAAATTTTGCTATATTGATAATGGTATATTGCTAACCCTTTCCTCCTCCTCCTCAAACGTCAACCTCTGTGTTTTAGTGGAGAGCGTCAGCAGTAATGTACAGTCCGGAGGGAATGGCTTCTGCAAATTCAAAATAAAGAACAGAAACTGATGGACGATTATTTAAAAGCACTTTAACTCTGCTGCCTGGTAAACCCGTTTTCTCCCCTTCCGTTGGTTTCATCGGCAGTTACATTATATTATGTTTGCCTGCTTAACTAACGCATACTTCAGCTAATTTAGTTGATGTCATCTTACTCACCTGTAGATGTCATCACCATTACGACGGCAATCACAAGACTCCAAAACACACCTCCGACATTGCAGACATGATTCAGACCACAAACTTGAAAATAAAACAAAAGATGTAATTAACAATGGTGCTGAAAGGGTTAGTTTACTTAAAAAATGAAAATGATGTATACTCAGCCTCATCTTGTTCACAACCTGTATTAATTTATTTCTTGTGCTGTATACAAAAGAAGATATTAAAAAATAACATGAGTAACCAAACAGTTTCTGGTCCCCATTGACATCCATAGTATTTTTTTATTATTATAGAAGTCAAACTGTTCCATTACCAACATTCTTCAAAATGTTCAGAAGAAAACTTCATGCAGGTTTAGAACAACTTGTGGGCAAGTAATTATGACAGAATTTCTTTTTGAGGTGCACTATTCCTTTAACTTATTTTTTCACGATAGCTCACTGTGCACGTTGTTACATCTGCCTAACTAGCTAAGTTGTGATAAATAGGGGACGGAACATACAAAAGTTATTATTTTTCTCTGTTTAATAAGTTTACTTCGGCTTATTTAGGTGAAGTTAACATACCTGTTGATGTTATCACCGTTAAGACGGCAATGAAAAGGCTCCAACACACCTCCATCGTTGCAGACTGCAGACATTATACAGCTCACAAACCTGAAAATAAATCAAAGCATATACTTGAAAATATTGTTTAAAAAAACTCACTTAAACAAGGGGTTCGTCTGTCTCACTTTACCTCAGTATTCCTCTGCCTCTTTAACGTAAGCTCGCCAGGCGAAGTCGTCTGTTAGTAATGTTAACCGCAACGAACTAACGTTAACGTGTCGTGAAATACTGAGGTAAAGTGAGATAGACGAAACCCTTGTTTAAGTGAGTTTTTTTAAACAATATTTTCAAGTATATGCTTCGGCTTATTTAGGTGAAGTTAACCTACCTGTTGATGTTATCACCGTTAAGACGGCAATGAAAAGGCTCCAACACACCTCCATCGTTGCAGACTGCAGACATTATACAGATCACAAACCTGAAAATAAATCAAAGCATATACTTGAAAATATTGTTTAAAAAACCTCACTTAAACAAGGGTTTCGTCTATCTCACTTTACCTCAGTATTTCATGACACGTTAACGTTAGTTCGTTGCGGTGTTACTAACCGACGACTTCGCCTGGCGAGCTTACGTTAAAGAGGCAGAGGAATACACAAACGTTATTGTTATCGTTTTACTAAAAGAATATTTCGGATAATATAGGTGAACTTAGCTTAACGTTACTTACCAGTTAATATTATCACCGTGACGGATATCCGGCCGACAGTCAGGAAAAAAAGGCACCAAAAACCATTCCGACGAAAACAAAAAGTCAAATCATGTTAGTTTGCTGTTAACATAAATGACAACATTTGCAAATGTTTGTTTTACATACAATAGAAATAATATACTAACCTTTTTGGAGTTACCGGTACATCTTTTGTCCACATTAACTGCCACTTCAACCATACAGTCCAAAAAAATTCAAAAGAAATCTCGCATTGGTCAGTTTTTCGCGGGCAAGTTTACTACTGTAAATTGATTTACAGTAGAGAAGAATTACAGTAGTGACCATATATTTTCCCATAATCCTTTGCTGTTTACAGTAACATACTGTATAAACATTTTACAGTATCTTACAGTACATATTACAGTAAAATACTGTTCAAATTACGGAAACCAGTTACAGTGCACCTTTGAAGGTGCTGCCAATTAGGATTCCGAGTTTGAGTTTGTTAGAAATTAAAAGTCCAACAAAAACAAGTACCTAATTCCGGTCTTTTATTCAGGCATATGAATGAACAATCACCAGCGCTGGGGAGACAACTGCTCAGCCCAAGATTCTTGGGTTATGGAATATATAGTGAAAGTTTAAGGGGAGTAATACAGATCTAACCAATAAAACCATACATTACATCATAACATATCATCTATACGTTATATAACAAGTCTATAGGCCTAAATGCTCAGTTTCCGGCTAGTTATCCATCCTAACATTTGGGTCCAGAAAGGCCCTTCCATGCTTTAGCATAAGTCGAGAAGAGACCCTTCCTCCCTTCGAACACAGAGGCATACATTAATGAATAACAGATGTGGCCATTACATTCATACAAAGGAATCCTACACTGCGTTCATTGTATGCTGAGACTTTAGATAGTTAAACTAAACTTCTAACAGAGTTCATTCAAAGTTTGGAGCGAAACAGCTCTGTTGCAGATACTAAAGTGTGAGTTGTGCCGGAAATTACCCAGGCACAGAGGGCCAAATGCCTGCCTCCTCATCAGTGAAGTCTATGAAATTGGCCCTGTGTAACCAACTCCGCTCTGGAGTGTACCTCCATTCTAAAATAGATGGGTCTGATGTACATTTGTTATTGGATACTGGTTCATAGGTATCAATTATACCTAAACCAGGAATGGTCAACGTCGCTCCTGAGTGCCACCATCCTGCAGAGTTTTCATGCAAATATAATCCGTTATGTTTTATGTGAACTTTTGCGGAACTGTTGCGGGAAAACATCTGATGTGTAACATTATATTATTCCTGTATTACAGTGGGTCTTAATATATAGGCCATCTGTCACATTAATGTTAATCAAATTATAAAAGAAAAGAGAGAATCACTCGCTGCTCTTGACTAAGCTGCTTTTGTAGTTTTAATAATCAATTTATTTAATGAACACACTAAAGTGATTTTTACATGATTATTTGTTTTTCTTACTTAAATGCTTCTGTTTAGATGTAAAATGAAAAAAAGTAATGCTCTATTTGTTTCTCTTATTTTGTATTTGATCTGTTTTTTTTTTTTTTTGCATCTTTGTTATTTGTATTAACAAAGATAAAATGAAAAATAGCTATATTATTTAGAAAAATTGACTTCCATTATAATGGATCAGCAAGGACCGTGGTTTCAGCTAAAAATCTTCTTTACATGTTCTACCGAATTAAAAAGGTAAAAAAGAAGGGGGGGGAGGGGGGGCTCAAGCCCCTGCCCCTTTTGTCTCAAAATGAGTGCCCTTCTCTGATCATTGTAAATAATAATAATTATTATAAATATTATAATAAATAACAATACACTTACACACCCTTGCCACTAACAATAATAATACAAACAAATATTATATAAAAAAAAAATTTGGCGGAGAAGTGGTAGGCGGAGTTTCCTTTGCAGCGCCTCGTATGCATTTAACGGTTCTGGTACGCACAACGCAGCAGTTCGCGCGAGTCTTCAAACGAGCAGCAGGTAACGTTAAAGCTAATACGGAAAATTACATTTATCCTACGATCACCATGCTACTCTAAAAGTTGCGGCAGCGAGCGAGTTATTCTTAACTATAATAAAAGTATAACTCGATTTCAGACGCATTCTGAGTGACAGTGACTACGTTTACATGCAGCCAAATTTCGGGTTATGGTCGGGTTAAGGTCACTATTCGGGTTTCTGAAACATTAGGGTTAACCCGTTTACATGCGTGAGCAGAGAGACGTACGGACAACCTTGACGCAATATGCGTCATTTCCGATTCTTCTTCCTGTATCCAAAGACAACAACAACAGCAGCACCCGGATAATGAATAGTTCGGGGCAGATAGCGATCGCCTTTGTTTGCGCTTTGATGCTGGTAACGTTACTGACCTCGCTCCAAAAGTATGCTGTGCTGCGTCTCGCCATGTTTACTTCCGGTATTCTGCACGCGGATTTTTGTATGCGCCGAGAAGTTCCTCTACTCAAAAGACCAAGATTCCTTGCGAATAGAACATGCGCAGAACACAAATCACTATGGGGATATCCCGATGCGCGTTTACATGACCAAAAATTCGGGTTAGAAAAGGGGTACCCCAGGTATAATATCCCGGTTTTTAAAATCCGGAATATGAGCATATCCGGGTTTTTGCCGGTGTTTACATGGCCGTTCACGACCGGGTTATTGCTAATATCCCGGTTTTGAACGGGTTATTGGCTGCATGTAAACGCAGTAAGTGACTACGTTTACATGCAGCCAATAACCCGTTCAAAACCGGGATATTAGCAATAACCCGGTCGCGAACGGCCATGTAAACACCGGCAAAAACCCGGATATGCTCATATTCCGGATTTTAAAAACCGGGATATTATACCTGGGGTACCCCTTTTCTAACCCGAATTTTTGGTCATGTAAACGCGCATCCGGATATCCCCATAGTGATTTGTGTTCTGCGCATGTTCTATTCGCAAGGAATCTTGGTCTTTTGAGTAGAGGAACTTCTCGGCGCATACAAAAATCCGCGTGCAGAATACCGGAAGTAAACATGGCGAGACGCAGCACAGCATACTTTTGGAGCGAGGTCAGTAACGTTACCAGCATCAAAGCGCAAACAAAGGCGATCGCTATCTGCCCCGAACTATTCATTATCCGGGTGCTGCTGTTGTTGTTGTCTTTGGATACAGGAAGAAGAATCGGAAATGACGCATATTGCGTCAAGGTTGTCCGTACGTCCAGACGCTAACCGCGCTTCGCCGTTTACATCGGGATATTGCAATTCCATGTATACAGGAGTAACTCTCTCTGCTCACGCATGTAAACGGGTTATCCCTAATGTTTCAGAAACCCGAATAGTGACCTTAAACCGACCATAACCCGAAATTTGGCTGCATGTAAACGTAGTCAGTGTTTTTCGTTTTTATCCAAGGAATAAAAGTGCAAGTGGAAATACATCTAGTTAAATGAAATCTTAAGTCAATGTCCAACTCTAAATTGTAAGGAACTTATATCTTTGATTTCATAGTAAAGCTTTACAATAATGTTCATTTGTTCATTACTCATGTATGAACTAGCATGAACTAACCATGAGCAACACATTTGTTACTGTATATCTTAGTTAATAATACAACTGTTAATTGTTTATTCATGTTATGTCACAGTCAGTGCATTAACTAATGATAACAAATACAACTTTTGATTTTAATGTTTTAGTAAATGCTGAAATTAATATTAACTAAGATTAATAAATGCTGTAAGTGCAGTTCATTATTAGCTAATGCTAACTAATTTAACTAATGAAACCTTACTGTAAAGTGTTACTGATTCATGATAGCTAACACTGTCTTTCATACATATAATACATACATTAAGTTTACAACATCAACAAAACTAAAAATTAGTTTTCCATAAAATTATTAATTTTACCTTCTTGATTCTCACTGTTTTGTTTGGTAAAGTAAATAATATTTAGTAATATTATCATAATTTCCCTATTTTCATTTGATGTGTTATGCATTCTAATAATTGTAAAAACATATTTTCTTAGAATGCCAAGGAAAGAAAGAATAATAAAAAAAAAAATCAAGGAACTCTATGATGCAGCCAAAGGAAGCATCCCTCTCACAAGTTGGCTGAATAGAGAGAATAAAAATGCAGGTACGGTACTGTTAAATTAAATATATACAAAAATTAGTGCCCTTTTTGGTCCCTCCGCCCCTGCCCCTGAGGAGGTCTGTGCACGCCACTGGTCAGCTGTGTTTCAGAAATATTCGAGTGACAGAGTCTCCCAGCATTACTGACTGAACTTCATGTGATTCAACCTGAAAAACACCTGCAGACCGAGATACAC